GGTGCTGTCATTAGAGGCCAGAGTTTGAACTTGTTTGGCTGCCTCGAGCACCAGGTTGCATGGTGAATGATGAACCTGGCTTTCATTTTGCTTCTTGCTGACTCATCCTTGGGAGTGCATGTGCCTTATAAATTAAGTCCCTCAGGGCAATTTCTTGCTAAGCACGGTGTCATTTTAGCCTTGAAGAGAGGAGCACTGACTGCTGGATCACATGGCTGTGGTCTTGGGTTCAGCTTCAAGAAGAGATTAGCTGAGGAAGAGCTGAGGACAGGACAGAGGTATTGGAGGGTGAGAATAATAGACTCGCTTCCTGCCACTTTGACTGCTAACTAGCATCAGCCCTGAGTCAGGGGCCACTGGCTTCCCTGCTCTCCCATTTACAAGGTATTTTTAGGAGAAGCGTAATGGAGGGAATAGAGCTTAGCTGTTGAGATAAATTTGATAGAAAAAGAGTAAGAAGCCAGATCTCATTGTTAAGAAAATGTTCAATTTTCTTAGAGTGGCCTATTTTACCCCTAGTTCTTTATAACATTGGCAGGTAATGTCTTGGTCCCATTTTTTGTTGTTTTGTTGTGCTGTTATTTCAGATTTTTTTTTTCACTTTTATCTAATAATGCTCAGACCTGCTATGTACTTCTTACTTCCATGTGAGTCCTGCTTCCAAAGTATCTGAGTTCACATACATCCGACTCCTTCCATGAAAGTTGTCTTATTAAAGCCACGTGCATGGGGATGGGCCCTCTGGCCTTCACTGTAGAAGCTGTTGTCCACTCGCTCAATCTTATCCAGCTCTTTGTAACCCCATGGACTGCAGCACACAAGGCTTCCTTTCACTAGCTCCCAGAATGTGCTCAAATTCATGTCCATCAAGTCGGTGATGCCATCCAACCATCTCATTCTCTATCACCCCCTTCTCCTCCTGCCTCAAATCTTTTCCAGCATCAGGGTCTTTTCCAATGATTTGAGTCTTCCTATCAGGTGGCCAAAATATTGGAGCTTCAGCTTCAGCATCAGTCCTTCCACGGGTTGATTTCCTTGAGGATTGATGAGTTTGATCTCCTTGCAGTCCAAGGGACTCTCAAGAGTCTTCTCTAGCATCACAGTTGTAAAGCATCAATTCTTCGGCTACGATAATAAAACCATGTGTCTTTACTGATTACTCAATATCACTTGTAGATTGTGTTTGTACAGTATTTGCCAAAATTAATGTTTCAGGATGATATAATAATTGCTTTGTTCTCTATAAAATGCCAAGATGCATAGCATAAGTCTTGAGAGATTTGTAGGTTATATCAACATGAGCTGTGTGAGGAAGGCTCTGGGCAAGAAAGCGGCGTCACTTATTTAAGCCTTCCTCAATAACATAAGAACCCTCAGGTCCTACTATATATTTCCCCACTTTTTTATATCACTCTGGAACATCTTATTGACATATAAGGTGCTTGAGGGATGCAGCAAAGCTCCTAGAAAGCTGCGCTGCATGCCTGCAGCAACAGGCGGAAGAGCAGCCCAGGCCAGCACCCCAGGGTCCCAGGGTCCCCCCTCCCCCAGGGGAGCCCTGCACTGCCTGCTCACAGCAAGGACCAGCCCCCCTGCCTTGTGCTGTGGGGAAGGAGAATCATGAAATGTATCCTCCTCTGTGTCTTGTTTCTCTCGACAGTGCTCATGCAAAGTTCATCCTCATTGTTGGGCATAGTTACAGTGGACAGTTCCTCTGTGATGCCCCACTGTGTTAGCATACCACAGCCCACCTGCTCCTCGTCCTGACAGCTGCTTAAATATTCCTGACTTTGGTTTATTAGGAAGGCTTCCCAGGTGGCGCTAGTGGTAAACAACCCACCTAACAATGCAGGACACATAAGAGATGCGGATTCTATTCCTGGGTCCAGAAGATCCCCTGGAGAAGGGCATGGCAACTCCAGTATTGTTGCCTGGAGAATCCTGTGGACAGAGGAGCCTAGTCTGCTACAGTCCATAGAGTCACAAAGAGTTGGACACGACTGAAGCAACTTAGCATGCACATGCACTGTTTAGACATAGAAAACAAATCTATGATTACCAAAGGGGAAAGGTGCAGGGCAGGGATAAATTTAGAGTTTAGGATTAACATATGCACAATACTGTATATAAAATAGATGAATAAAGACCTACTGTATAGCACAAGAAACTACACACAATATTCTGTAATAACCTGTATGGGAAAAGAATCTGAAAATAACTAGATATGTGTATAACAGAATTACGTTGTGATACCTAACACAATGGTGTACATCAACTCTACTTTAGTTTTTTTAAAAGGGCTAGAGCTGGTTAGACTCACACGTAGAGAGAACAGCATATTAATAGTGGCTACCAGTGGAGAGGGGAGGGGCAAGATAAGGATAGGGGATTAAGAGGTACAAACTATTATGTATAAAATAAATAGGCTACAAGGCTGCGTTGTGTAACATGGGAATACAACCAATAGTTATTTTTTTTGTAATTTTATTTATTTGTTTACTCATTCACTTTGGGCTTTGCTGTGTCCTCGTTGCTTTGCGCCAACTTTGTATAGTTTCAGTGAGCAGGGGATACTCCTTGCTGTGGCGTGTGGCTTCTCATTGCCGGGGGCTTCTCTTATTGCAGAGCACAGGCTCTGGCCACCCGGGCTTCACTAGTTGCAGCGCAAAGTCTCTGTAGTTACAGCTCACGGATTCTAAAGTACAGGCTCAGAAGCTGTGGCACGTGGCTTAGTTGCTCCATGGAATCTTCCTAGACCAGGGATCTAACCTGTGTCCTCTGCATCAGCAGGCAGATTCCTATCCACTGTGCCACCAGGGAATTCCAAGCCAATATAACTATAAATGAAATATAAACCTTTAAAAATTGTGAATCACTATATTGTATACCCGTATATTGTGCACCAACTTCAGTTCGGTTCAGTTCAGGTCAGTGGCTCAGTCGTGTCCAACTCTTTAAGACCCCATGAATTGCAGCACGCCAGGCCTCCCTGTCCATCACCAACTCCCGGAGCTTACTCAAACTCATGTGCATCGAGTCAGTGATGCCATCCAGCCATCTCATCTTCTGTCGTCCCCTTCTCCTCCTGCCCCCAATCCCTCCCAGCATCAGGGTCTTTTCCAATGAGTCAGCTCTTCGAATCAGGTGGCCAAAGTATTGGAGTTTCAGCTTCAGCATCAGTCCTTCCAATGATCACCCAGGACTGATCTCCTTTAGGATGGACTGGTTGGATCTCCTTGCAGTCCAAGTGACTCTCAAGAGTCTTCTCCAACACCACAGTTCAAAAGCATCAATTCTTCAATGCTCAGCTTTCTTTATAGTCCAACTCTCACATCCATACATGCCTACTGGAAAAACCATAGCCTTGACTTGACAGACCTTTGTTGACAAAGTAATGTCTCTGCTTTTTAATATGCTGTCTAGGTTGGTCATAACTTTGCTTCCATGGAGTAAGCATCTTTTAATTTCATGGCTTCAGTCACCATCTGCAGTGATTTTGGAGCCCCCCAAAAATAAAGTCAGCCACTGTTTCCAGTGTTTCCCCATCTATTTGCCATTTACTTCAATAAATAAATAAACAGGAAAATTCATAATAAGGTTAAAAATAAATAGTGCTGTTTTCAACATTATAGTATACCTCTTTTGATGAACTTATAAGCAAATCTGTTAAATATAGATGTAAGAGTGAGTAGCTGTACTATAAGGTATTTATACTTCAGCTTTAATAAATATGGCCAAAGTTTTCCAAATTAGTTATATCAACTTTTTTTTTAGTGTTTTTTTTTTAGTTATATCAATTTGAAGTCTTTTTTCTGCACACATTTATTCAGTGATCATCTCATGGAATGGAATATTATTAGATCACTGTTTTCTTCATTGTAGGTTTCAAAATCATGAATGAGGGTCAGACAGAGGTATTGTGACCTGTTTATATGAATTTGCCACACAAAATAGAATGTTTTGATTTATGACTTAAAGAATTTCCTCTCAGGAGAGTAAAGTAAACACTTGGTCCTTAGAGATGTTTGCAGACTTATTGCAAAGGAAGAAATTCACCAAAATCTCTGTGGAAAGTAAGTTCAGGCAATCTCTCTGACAGACAGTTCAGAGGGAAGCTTCCAACAGCAGTCACCAAGCAGGCAGCAAGGACCAGGGAGAGATGCTAAGAACAAGAGCCAGGCAACCTGAGATGACATCTCACCTCTGCCAACCTTGTGTTAACTTCTTAATTTATCTGAGCCTTTATTTTCTCATTTACAAAATAAGGGTCTTAACCCAGACTCCAATTTGTGAAAGTTACATGAAAATACTTTGTATCACATGTATGGGGTGTAATTATGAGAAGTAGACCAAGCCTGTGTTTTACGTCAAAGAGCTATGAGCGTGTTCTTAGATGCCAATGTTAAATCCTTATGTGCTTTCTGGTCATACTCTGGAGAATACATTGCCCTACCTTGTTTAAAAGTGCCTTCAAAAACAATTGTCTACTGCAGTAATAAATGGAAAATATCAGCAAAAAAAAAAAAAAAAGTGCCTTCATTGTTAGCATTAGAAGTACTGTGTGGTTCAACCTCAAGGGATTTCAGTATATCACTAACATGCCCTGGTGGTCATCAGTTAACCAGCTAGCTTACTAATTAATTTACTAATTGCACTATGGATTTCCTTTCTCTCACAAGTGTTGATGAAGTATGTGCTCCCAGGAGGCATAGTCACCTCTCATGTCTACCCCTAACCAGTCCCAAAACTCCTGTGTTAGGCTTTGCAGTGCTTTTACTTTTGATATGAGTTATTTTGAAAAGCAGTTCTTCAGATGTGATGGAGTATGTATGACAGCCGAAAAAGCCAGAGTCTTCTTCAACTCAGGTGTTTATCGGGGCTGAACATGACAAGGAAAAGATGCTTCATCTGTATGAATTTGCTTATCTCCTCCTCATTGCATTCTCTCCCCTTCTCTCTTTTGTTTTTCTTTCTTATGTCCCCACGTATGCCGTGTGCAGTGCGTTTGGCGTAGTTACGCAGCTGATGAGAAATCTGTCTCCGTTGCAACTTGGAAGCCGCACCTGAAGGCCTTGCACACCTGTAGCCCCACCAAGTAGGTGTCAGTGTGACAGTCGGCGCTGTATCTGAGTCTCCTTAAGTTTGTAAAACAAGCCACACCCACAACCACACACAGACCCACAACCACACACAGACCCACAACCACACACAGACTCACAATCACACAGAGCCATAAGCACACACAGACCCACAACCACACACATACTCGTGCCGATTCGAGGATTGTCTTATGCTCTGTTGTTTTTTGAGATTCAAACCTGTTTGGTAACAACTCAGATGTGAAAGTGAGTGTACTCAGTATCATGGCTCACCATCCCCAGATTGGGCTTAAAGATGAAAAGAATCTAAACTTTATAAAGATTTATTTGTACTGTTTCATGCTTATTTTCTAACATCTCATTTCATAAAGCCCACCAGAATTCCTATAGTAAGTGCTGTGGTTCTGGAAAACCAGTGACTCTTAAAACGGCCCCCATCATCTGACCAACCAAAGGCTGTTTGGGAAGCATTGTGTCTGCACATTTAAGCCCCTCAAGGTCATTTCTCTTTGAGGGATGCCTCACGGGACAGATGTTGAGCTTCACTTGCAGATCAAACAGACATCAATAGCAAAACACAAGAAGAGGTGGGCACAGTGAGGTGAAGGCAGCACTCCAGTACAATTTGGGATTAGTGTTCAAAATTTAAAGAGATGTTACTTCCATTCACATGATATCCACCAAATAGGTCAACTGGCTATGCTTCAGCTCAGGTTGGGGAGTTGCAACGCCTCTGTGTTTGGAAGGGAGGGGGCTGGGAAGATGCTACACATACTGAGGGCTGTCACAGCATCTTTAATTCCCAAACAATCCCTAGTCCCGGAAGCCTGGACTCTGGTTCAGCTGACACACAAAACCATAATCACCATCTAATTCAAGAAATCCTCAGTGAAACTAGTGAAGCCGGTAAGTCAGAGACGGGCTTGCTGTGAGTCACCCGCTGGACTAGTGGTCAGTCCCCGGATTGTTCAGAGTGCATTTGAGCACCTGCTGTGTCCTTTCAGGGCCCATTAAAGCCTTAATCCCAGGGGCTTCATGGGATTGGAGGCAGCCGATGACTGTGATGGTCCGAGAAAACTCTTCTTAGCAGAGTGCAGGAGAATCAGCTGGGGAAGCCCTCATGGCTGGTTCCCTGGAGCCACTGTCTCCCAGGAGATCTGTGGGACCGTTGTTAACTCATGGGATCTGTTACAATGCTTTCCTGCCTTGCCCTGAGCCTGGGGTTCACATCCATACGTATGTGATGAGAGCTGGCCGAGGTCACCTCTGACCCTACGGGGGAGGTCAGGGTCACACCTGTGCTTACTTACACCAGTGACGGAGATGCACTGACCCAGGATGCTGGAGGGGGCACAGTCTCAGCAGGCATAGAATCCACTTTTCATTCAGATCTCAAAATTCAGTGAAATTCCCCTTATTCAGTATTAGATTCTTTCAAAGTTTTAGTATTTTAAAACAAAAAAGGAATATAACTGGTGTACCATCTGTTCCTTGGCTATATATGAATCAAAAACGGGAATTGTATAGAAAGTGTATGTCTCATCTCTAGGAAGGTTGCTGGGGAACATGTAAGAGGTAGGCTAGTGGGAAAAAAAAAAAAAAGAAGACTCTCTAGTGACAGGAGAGTGTGGGCTATTATTTTATCATGTGTGATTATTTGGCTTCCCACTGCCTGCCATTTTTGGTTTCAAAGCCATCCTGAAACCTGGAAAAACTATTCAAGAATGAGTCAAATTCTTGCAGTGCATAAACTGTTGTTTTACTCCCATGACTTCTTTTTTTTCTGGCATTTTCCCTGTTTTTAGTGGGAGTGGAGAACTTTGCGCACATCCCTGCCTTCATCCTGCCCACTGTGGCCATCAGCACCTCCCCTCCCCTCGTCTCCCTGAGCCCTGGAGCCTCTGGGTCCAGCCTTATTTATGAATGGCAGGCGTGTGCCCAGGAGAACGGTAGCCACTGCCAAGCTCCTCTAGCTTCAGTTCATAGTTTATCATCCAAAATGGCATGGTTCTTAATCCTTGCTGTTATTGTCGTTTTTTGTTAAACCACTGAAAACAAGATAGTTAATTATGGACTCTTTCTCAAGGAAAATATTCAACACCTAACAATCAAAATTTTGCCTTCAATTTTAATGTATTTACAAACTTCCTGAAGACAAGTTCAGAACCTTTGCTTTAGAAACAATCCTACTTTAATCAAATGTGTAGGTTTGTCAGGAGGCTAATTTACAATGACTTAGAGGGATAACTTTACATTTGTAACTAACTGGCTTACTGACTGCAGAACGGTATGGTAAGAAACAGATCAAAACTTCTTACTCACATCAGGAATTTCCTAGAGTGTTTCAGGTTAAGAATCTCTGAAGGGAAAGTTCATTCACCCATTCGTGGGTTCCTGCAGACATGAGCACAGTCAGGGAGGAAGGGATTTCCCTCTGCCTTTCTAGGTCCTTCCAGATGGTCTAAGAATTAAGTTGACATGAGACAGATTAACAGGAGAAAATCAAGAGTTTAGCAATATGTTCACATGAGAGGGGCCCAGGAGAACTGAGTGACTCGACAAAAGTGCCCAAACCCTCTCCTTGAACACCACCTTCAGCTGAAGACAAAGGAGGATGCTGGGTCTGGTTTGGGAGGAAGGCAGTGACCTGGAGACAGGGAAGCAGCTGCTTGGTAAAGGAGTGCTGCTGGGACTGGCAAGAAGACAGGACGTGGACAGGACTCTGATGGAGACACTGTCACCTTCAGGCCCTGCCGAGCGTCCCACCACACCCTGCCCATCGTCCTCACAGACCCCTCTGGCGACAGCCCTATTCTGGGGAAACAGGCCCTTTATCTAAATTCCTTTAGGTTGTTAAGGGAGAGATAACAAGAAAAACTTCCTAAGACTTCCATTTCTTAAAAAAATAATCAGCCTGAGGCTCCAGAGGGAGGGGATATATGTATCCCTATGGCTGATCTGTGCTGATCTATGGCAGAAACCAATACAATACTGTCATTATCCTTCAATTACAAATAAAATAATAATCAGCCTGAATGTATGCTCATGCCAGAGGCACGTTGGGGTGCCAGATTTGGGGGTGCCACGTTCTGCTCCCCTACAGCACCTGCTGGGTCACAGTGCTGCTCTGGGCATAGGGAATGCAGCAACGGTGGAGGAGGAAAACCAGGAGAATCTCAGGCTGAGCTCAGGGAGTCTAAATGCAAGAGATACTGGGAAGAGACAGCAAAAATAAATAAGCAAAATATGTAATAGAGTAGATGATGCTAAGAGCTAAAGAGAAAAGGAAAGTAGGAGAGGAATTAGGGGGGACACTGGGGGCTATGATTTTAAATAGCTGGTCAGGGGAGAGAGTATATTATCAACAGCAGGAGCAGCAACAATGACTTTGTTATCAGTAAAGACCGAAGCCCGAGATCTTGTCCTCCCAGTGAGAGACACCATGGGCTGCCTTGACCTCTCATTGTTATCCCAGGGAGAAGGATGATGGAACAGCTGTGAGGGGGCAGGGGCAGAGATGCTTCTCAGGCCTTCTGGACACTCTTCTTTCTGATCCGGTTCGTCTGACGCATGCACTTTTGAGGTCTTAGTAGTTGCAAAGTTTTGTTTTAATGACAGAAGAATTTAGGGAAGCAACACTTTTCTTGATTTTCATCTCAAAGAGAGTGAAGGCTGTACAGAGGGTGAAGCACAGGTAACTGTGCTATTTGGGGAAATGAGTCAGATAGTTTATGAAGCTGTGTGGATCATCAAGCTCCCCAGGGCCACGTGGCACCTTAGGGAGTTAGAATTTAGAGATTTTCAACTTCAAGGACTTCCATTTAGTCATAACAAAATTGAGACCCACAAGAAAGTGAACCATGTGCCCAAGGACACACAGCTCATTTACAAAGAGTAGGGACCCTACACCATGTTGGGTAGACCCGAATTTGCTAAAACGGTTTATTAGACCACCCAACACTAAGCTAGGTTGTCTATATGCTTAATTTCCTGCAAGGAATTCATATTAAAAAAAAAAACAAACAAACAAATCTACCTCAACAAGTTATTAACATACAAAACCATAGTACACATGAACTAAAGCAGATTAAATAGCCCCAAAGGCTGCCTGAACCACAGGGACCCCAGCTTCAGTGTAACCAGCACAGCAGTTCTAAGAGTTTCTACTGAGGCTGATTAGGTCAGAACCACTTTTTCCTAAACCCTGGATGACTTTGGCTGATGAAGACTCTATAGCTTTCGGTCACATGTGGGCAGTATCTCGGGTCTGTGTCACAAAGAAACACAAGTTAGAAAGTTGGGTACATTTATGATGAAGTGTTTTGCTTCTATGGCTCTTGCTTGAAAAGAAAGGATTAATCAAGGTACTTGATTCCCCAGTTTGGTCATTATCAAGTGCTGTAAATGTGTTCACCATGTATCATCATTTTTCTTCTGTCTGCACGGACCTGAACTAAAGAGCAAGGGGAAGCTTCAAGCAGGTTTGTAATTTCTGTTCTGCTACATGTTTGTCGGTAAATCTGATCCCTCACCTATGTTTTAAATGTGTCTCATGTGAGAAAAATCGATCAACACATGCAAGGTGATTAAAAGTGACCTTTCACAAGATTACCTGCAAAAGTTGCTGTTGTATTGATTTTCCACCCTCTTGGGAGTGTCTTTCCCTAAGTCACTCAATGCTTTTTACAATCTGCAGAGCATGGGACATTCTGGGGAAAAATAATAATTATGGTCTTTGGTTGTTCCTTGCTGCTATTTTCCCAGAGTCTGACTGAGTATTCAGATCCCATGAAACAGGATAAGATCCACTCCCTTCACCAGGCTCCTTCTTTTAGAGTGAGAAATTGCGTGGTTTGGGGCAGGGGGTGGGAAGGAACAGTGTGTTCAAGAGGTAAGGACACGCTCTATGCGACGTCTCCAGCTCGTTCAGAACTCAGGCGCCCTAATCCTTTAGTTAGGAAGAAGATAATCCTCCCGAACACGTCACCGAATGAAGCTCACTGTACGATCATTCTTCTGTGCCTTAGAAGGAAATGCTTTATCAGATTAAGTAGCAGGAAGCTAGACCCAGAGGAAAGAGCACGTTTTAACCTGGGTTCACGACTGTCAAGAAGGATCTGGGCTTGGGAACAGAACCCAGAAGGAGAGAGGCACATGGATCCCAGCCCAGATGGGGTGAGGAGGGACAGAGGAGAGCCAGCAGGAAGTCCCAGACCCTGGGATTCCTTCCCATGAGGGATGCAAGGCTTTTCCGGTCATGACCACCCATCCCAGTAAGGAAGAAACATAGGCACCCCCCTGCCCTGGGCTGGCCCCTGAGTGGGGAGCCATCAGGGGTCTGGAGATTGTGTCATTAGCTTTGTGCTGTTATACGAATGATCATTATATATTTATCATGATGTATTTATTCACTCCTGAAATCAGAGTTGCGAGTTCTCTAGAGGTGATAAGTCTCTGGGTCATCCATTTCTGCATTATCTCAATCAACACCCAAAACAATTATAAACAGCAGCATAGACACGTTCGCTAATGACGAGCGGTAGATGTGATTGGATGCACCCACTTGTCAGGATGGGGAAGCCCCCATGGGTTCTGGCACTGGAGACGCTTCTTTCACGCGGCTGATACAGAGTAAAAGCAGAAGGCGGTGGTGCGCTCCAGGTGGTATTTCCGGAAAGTTTTAGTGGCTCGAAGAGTTGCTCTTCACTTTAGAAATATTTGTGCCCAAAGAGAACTGGGCTTTAGACGCTGGATAAGTTGGGTTGAGCAGCTATGCCCCTTGCTTCATGTAGACTCCATGCAACCCTACTCTCCTCCTGGTTGGAAATTCTACTCAAGACAAGTCAAACAAATAAATCATAGTCACTGTGAGCCATTTTGGTCTCATGGGTGACATTCGAAGTTTTCTTTGTCTTGAGGGCCATCAATTTACAGGTTATCTCAAAGAGGAACCTGTCAATTTATAGTCAGTGTGAAAAAAAAAAGGACTCTATCCTCTCCAAGTCCTCAGGGAAGAGCCCCTCTTTGGCAGGCATGACCTGAAAATCAGGTCGCCTGTCTGGGTTTCGTTCTCCAGAGGGGACATTTGTAAATCTTGTGGCGGTTTTGCTTCAGCACAGCCGTGAGTGAGGGGCCACCCTGGGCTGACAGTGACACTGCCCTTCTCCAAAAATCACTGAGGCAGAGGGCACAGACTGCAGTCCCGCTGTCCAAACATGAACTGACCAGACTACAACCAAACATTCTAAATGCCGTGATGCTTGTGTTATTTATATACCTAAAACGTTATACTGTGTTTACCTAAACATCATATACCATGTTCATATACCTAAAGTGTTAAGATCTATTCTGCATGGTTGGGGCTGAGTCTGTCAAAGATTGCCTACCCCCTGTAGACTTGCACTTGGGGCTTCCCTGGTGTCTCAGCGGTAAAGAATCCATCTGCAATGCAGGAGACACAGGAGATGTAGGTTTGATCCCTGCGTCAGGAAGATCCCTGGAGGAGGAAATGGCAACCCACTCCAGTATTCTTGCCCGGAGAATCCCCATGGACAGAGAAGCCAGGCAGGCTACAGTCCATAGGGTCACAAGAAGTTGGACATGACTTAGTGACTAGGCAACAAAAAAACAGACTTCAACTGAGCCACACTGCTGGCTCAGAGAATCACACGGAGACATCTGCAGACTTCTCTGCAGTCTTTGAACATTTGGCAAAAGCCACCGTGAACACACCATATGTTGCTGTGTGGTACACGTCTCACTCACGCTTCACTGGCATACACTGGGGTTTCCTGTTCGCCAGTCCACACATCCTGTCACCACGTGTGAAGCTATGACAGGGAATGTGCTCGATAAACACTTCTTGGGTGGCATAATAAAATACCCCTGACCTCTAGTACTTTACGTGAAGAGAGAGAAAAGTCCAACAAGAGATGTCAAGAGGAGGAATATAAAAAGAGAGAAAAGGAAAACTTAACATTCCAGTCATCTGCAGGAAATAAGCTGCAGTCCCACTTTAATGTGACCTTTGTTTCCGCCGCTGTGACCCCCAGGGCAGTGATGTGTTCACGGCACAAGCAGACAGGCTGTTGTAACATCAGCAGCACCAGCCCAGGAAGTAACAAATCTGCCCTCCCTCGAGCAAGTGTGCACAAAGGAAGTGCATGCTGATGGTGATTCTCCCTTAGAAGCAGCAGCTCTAGGTCCAGAATACGGCTGGCGAGTGCTGGACCCACGTTCAGACCAGCTGATAGCATTGCTTTGGCTTCAGCTGTACCACTGTGATTCAGACAAGGGAGTGTGGATACACTGCAGCCAGCCCTGTTATCCTCCAGAGCCTGGAATCTCCTAAATGCTTCCTCGAGGGACCTCTTTGTAAATGCTAAGACCTGGGAGGGACCCAGATGTAGGAGAGGCTACCCAGCAGCCAGCACTGTCCCCATTGAGGGGCCAGGACAGGAGATCAGGCCTCTCTCTACACACTCATCTACACCCCCGGGGAACTGGGTTCCCTGCTTCAGGACCTTCTTGTGAGAAGGTCTTGGCTTCCTACATGGAGGTTAGCTTGTGGTTTCTAAAAACGTGTACACAGCCTCTCAGGCTAAGGAAAGGCACCCAGTCCCAAGATGGTGACCGATTCAAAAAGCTTCTTTAAACATACAGCCTCCAGGAGAGCTTGCTAATCTAGCTTAGCTGAACAAGAGCGACCGTGGTACCAGGTCAGGTGTGAATCACCATCCATCTCAGCCGACCCTGCCCTGTTCCTCTTCTGAAGCCAAAAACGCTGCTTTGTGGGCATGGTTCAGTTGTTTACTTTTTCCTTTCCATCTTCCCGCTGAAACAGTTCTCATCCCACGTGTGGTGGTGAATGGTGTCTACTGATTTTATTCTAATTAATCATCCCACTGAGTAACTTTTCCCACTCATTTTATAAGCTGGGCAGTTCTCTGTTTGGGTATAAATGGCCACTTCGCAAGGACAGAATGTCCCTGTAAACGCATCCAGCATCCTCACCTTCCTCTCTGCCGCCTCCACCAAGCTGACTAGGCTGTGAGTTAGCTACCAGCATGGTACGAGAAAGCTCTTACTTCTTCCTACCTGTTAAGGTTTTATTGCTCCAAGGACAGATCATACATCAGAGGCTTGGGGATTATCCGTATATCTCCCTGCCTCTGCTAACCCTGTCTGCTTAAGCAACGCTCGGCGACTGCATGCCTGCTTTGTAGTTAAACCGCCTTTATGCAGTTCATGAGGCGTTAAGAAAGCCCTGCCAGACTTCTTAGTAGACTCTCTGAAGTTGCTTTAACAGGTGCTTGTGAGACAGTTATAAAGATGCGTGTCTTAAAAGTTAAAGCATAAGAGAGACTCTCATTACGTTACATCCTGTGCTCTGGTCCACGGGGTGCTTTGCCCGAACCGTTCCTGCACAGTTGCCTTTATTAGGTTCTGAGGAGTGTGACTCTCAGGAGAGACCGCAACACTGATGGAAACACCGTGCACTTCTATTTCTTCTGCATTTATTTTCCATTATTTATATGTCTTTCTTTTGTGTGCAGTGAATGATCTGCGTGGGTTGTTAAACTAAACTCAGGGAAATGAGACTTCTTTTTTTGGCACAGTCAACTTGTGTCCTTAGTGGCAAAAGGTTAGGTTGTTGCTAAAACAGTTTTTTTTTCAAAATAGTCTCTTTTTCTGTTCGCATTTATTGACCGAAGGAAAGGACTTAGTCTTTGAAAAGCACATTGTAAGAGTTAATATAGGAAAAATGCTCTTTTTCTAACAAACTAGCAACCTAGAATATTTTCTTTTATCTTTTCGAACATGTTCTATCTGACAATTGATTCCTTATATTTACACCTTCAGGTTTCATAACAAACCAAGAACTTTTTTATTTCAAGGTGGATTCTTTACCAGCTGAGCTATCAGGGAAGCCCCTATTGAAAAGCAATTAATGTTATCTACTTCATTGATTCCTATAAAGATTTTAATAGTTCTAGAATATTTTATTCCTCAATCATTTATACTGCGTTGCACTGTTACTTATTACAAGGGTTGCTATACCCTAAAATATTTATATTCTTATTTTTGTATGCAGCAGATGCTAAGACATAGACTACCATCCTTTGGAATGCCTGTTTCAAAATCTAGTTATTTCTACTTAACCATTAAGAACATGGCATCCATTTTGAGCAGCACAATTAATTTACAGTTTGTCCTTGGTGTTTAAATAGTCCATGTACTTGCATATGAACAATGAGGAAGCCAAATGGCTTTGTTTTTCAAGACCACAAGCCCCTGGGCCCTTTCCTGGTTGCGACCGCCTAGTAACGAGCTGCTGTCTCCCCCTCACTCCTAGTCAGGTCTGTAGTCATAAGCAGAAGCTCTTCAGAATACACACCTCATGGAGGCAGAGGTACCAGCATCCCGGCTGCTGCCATGCGATCTGAGAATGCCAACTAACCTCAGGTGCATGACCAGGTCACCCCGCCCTCCACTGAGCCCTGCTCAGACTCACTCTTCTGAGGACGACTGAATGAGGTTTCCAGCCCGCTTGTATTCCTCCCGCTGCCTGCTGCCTGCTTGGATCCCCTGCGCCCTGGGGATGAGCAGGCAGGTCCGAGCGGCCCCTCCTGGCGGTGGACGATGCTGAGCGGTGCACGTACCGGGTTGTGCTGGCTGCGCTGCGCTGCTGAATTGTGCCAGGGGCGAGAATTTGCAGGAGGCTTATCCTGTGAAGGGCGGAAGCCCTTATTAAGCGTAATGGTAACTACAACATTCTGAGTCCAAGAGGATTACCTTGGGGATGCTGTGATGCCACCCGGTCCCTGGCAGGGATCCCCCAGGAGCCGATTGCACGCTGGCCATTTGAGGAACACGAGCATCTGGTCACAAGAATCCCTGCAGGGCGGACATGCCTTCTGCCTTAAGATAGCCTGTGGCCAGGGACCAGGGGCTGCACCGTCCATGTCCACAGTCACCTTTTGGTTACTTTCTCCAAAGAGAGGCCTCCTTGTTGTTTCTTGGGGATAGGCTTTGGCAACCTTCCTAAAAGAACACTGTCTCATAAGCCTTTCTCAAAAATCACGTTCATAGATATCGCAAAAAAAGCTGAAAAATAATGAAAACGTCACTGGACTAGGGAAGAGTATTTTTTCATCAATGTGTGTTTTCAATAGCAGTCACCTAACCCATTTAATAGTAAGTTCATCAAGGTGCTCTGCTGATTTGCAAATGGGAAATGAACTACAAAAATTAATAAAAGTAAATTTTTTGTAGGAAAACACAAGGACAGATCTTTGACTTGGAAAAGAAAATATTGCTTGGCTAAAAAAGTTCTGGATTAGGATATTATTCTTAACAGTCATACTATGTCAGAAGACATATTATGTCAGAAGAAAGAGTGAAAACATTACATCTTTTTTTTTCTAATTTAGTGTTTAATGTGTTGCGTTCACTTCAAAACAATTCTAGAGAATATTTTAACATTAGATGTGGCAAATATTCACATACTTTAGAAGGACAAAAGGGGAAAGGATACCCAGAACTCATTTATATCAACTCTCATGCCTTAAGTAGTACTGAGATTCAGAAAATAATATTATTTCCATTTCCCGTTAATTCTTAAAGACAATATTAAATGTTTTGTAGGGACAATTTTTAAATATTTTATGAGTATTTTTTGAAGTTTTTGTTATTATAAATAACATTGGTAGATTTAATGCTGATACCTATTTTAGATTTTTTAAACATTTTTAGCAATTAAAATTTTTAAAAAACTAAATTTCATATTGATGGTTTTATAATGCTTTTATCAGTTTCCTATTCATTCCGTTGGCAAAGGAAAGAGAGATATCTTGAAAGTTTGAGTAATAATTTGCTATTAACTAAACCCAACCTTCTATAGTAATTAACATCTGTTAGTTCCAGAAAAGGTAATGGAATAAAGTATAATGAGACCACTTGTAACGGCAGCTCTGTCGACAAGCCATTCATTAATCTAAATAGAGGTGCATAAGTGCGTTCCTGAACCAGATCATTGTACATTTAAGTAACGGAACAGATGGCCGAAACTGAAAAGAGGTTTGTAGTTTCTACTATTAAAAAAAAACAAAGCTTGAAAAGAGTGGTCACGTTGAGCACCATCCCTTTGAGGATTTGTTTAAACATTGTGAGCTTTGGATGGCATGGAGAATGTAGCCTGGGCATAAGAAGATGCAGTTTTATATGTTATTGTTGTTGAATGAATCCATCATTTGATCACACGTTTGTCAACTGCGGAGAAAGCCCTGCCTGATGGGACTGTGTTAATGAGCCCTGAACCGTCTGCCCTGCCTGCCCTCTGCATGCGCCCCAGCAATCCTGCCTGCGTCTGCCCTTCGCACAGAGCTGTCAGCCACAGAGCCAGCATGTGTGTCCTGACCAGGACCTGCTGACCGCTGTAATCCATTGCTCGATGTGTTTACACATAAGCACACAGAAAACACGGTGTCTTCTTAGAACACCATTTGTTAAGCAGCTAGGCATGGAAAAATCAAAGTTACTGTGCTTGTTAGCTACAAGACATAGACCCGCTAAACACATTTGCTGTTGGCAAGCTGCCGCTGGGAACAGTGGACAAGGCAGAAAGTGCAAAAGAACCTGCTCCACGTGGTCTCAGAGAATCCCTGTCCATAAGAATGCTGTCTCCATGTCCCACAAAGGCTGCATCTGGACAGTGGGCCTCAGATTCATCCAGTCCACTGCTTCAGGCCTGAGAGCCCTGGGCCTCTCGCTCCATAAGGGAATCACTTTTTTTCCCCCATAAAAATATAAATGCACTCTATTTTTTTTTTTTTAATTTTTGGAGTAGGGCTGATTTAAAACATTTGTTAGTTTCTGCTGTGCAGGAAAGCTAATCAGTTATATATGTATCCACTCTTTTTTAGATTCTTTTCCCATATAGACCATTACAGAGTGTTGAGTATAGCAGGTCCTTATTAGTTATCTGTTTTACATATAGTAGTGTGTATATATCAGTCCCAATATCCCAATATTCTTCTCCCCACAGTCTCACTTTCTAATGAATAACATAGTACTTTATAAATGAATAAGAACACAAAACTTTGTACAGTTCATCTGATCCCCATAAGAGTCCCTCACGTACATTGCTATTTTTATCTTCAAGTTAGAAGAGAGGCCTCCAAACCCAGGTCTCTGATTCCAGCCTGCCCTCCCGGCACCTCACACCCCACTCACACTGAGGAAGGACTGGAGACTGCCTTGTTAGCACTTCCTTTATCAACCAACCACAGTTTAGGCCAAGCTGGCATCTGAGAACTGAATGTGAACAAATATAATTCACCAGGAGCTGCCACAGCAAATCAATAACCTGTTTAATAGCAGGAGTCTGTGTTGGTAAACACGACATCTCATTCTGTTAATCCATCATCCGGTTCGTTATAAGCTGAAGCTGGTCTACCTTGTGTGGTTTTTGTCTAGCAAGAATAAATGTGGTGTTAAGTGTTGTATGTCTAATATTGTCTGCAGTACTGCCAGCTGCTCTGAGACTGCATGGATCTGGAAGTCATAATCTTGCCTGGAATATAAAATGCATGCAGACTCTGTGTTCATGTGTAACTGTCACCTCTGTTTTCCTGTAGAAATATTTTAGAAATTACAAAGAGATATGATCCCAAATTTAAAAAAAAAAAAATAGCTTTTTCTTAAGTTTCAAAAGTTAAGGCTAAAGCTAAAATTTGTCTCTAAGGCGAACACCAAACCAGTTCTAGGGTCTTTCCAGTGTCATGGTGCACAAACTGCTGTGCTATATCTCAGGCCTTTGCTGAATCCAGGAAGGGTGTGCAAAACCATGGGATGAGATGGACTGGAGATGAATGCAGAGAGATTAAAGACAGCTCAAATTTTCAAAAAGGGGAAATGTATCACTGTGCCCCTACTTGCTAGAAACATTTCGTGTAATGCAATTTGTGATCGATCTGTCAATCGTGTGTATAGTCACATCAGCGCAGTGACGCAGGTGGGTGGGCGGCGCTGCCTGAAATGCACTAATGCCGCCCCTGTCGCCCGCAGCCAGAAGCTCAGCTTCAAGGATCGCGTGTGCATGGCCAGCCCTCTGGGCCAGAGCGTCAAGAGCAGGCAGGCATCGCTGGGGGACAGGCGGTCCCCCAGCACGGACATCACGGCTGAAGGCAGCCCCACCAAAGTGCAGAAGAGCTGGAGCTTCAACGACCGCACGCGCTTCCGGCCCTCCCTGCGCCTGAAGAGCTCGCAGCCCAAGCCGGTGGTGGACGGTGAGTTACCCCGGTCTCTCCATAACCGTGTATTACACGAACGCAAGGACCAAGAGGCAGATTCTGCCTGGTGCCACTTGGAGAGAAGGCAGGAAGCAACCCCAGGGTAAGAACCGTGCGCTTGTTTCTTGTTTTTTTGGAAGTTTATTGTCTGCCTTGGGCAAGTGTACCCAGGTCGACTTTTGCAGGCAAGTTTGGCAACTGGATCTACATTGCAAGGAAATCAGACAGTGGTGTTCATTCTTCCCTGGTATCTGCAGCATAGCGTTACTTCTCAGGTAGGTTGGGGTCAGGTCAACAGGACCGCGCCACTGATGCACAGATTGTATCCAACCTGCAGGCTCACCAAGATGGCCAGGAGCTCAGGACCCCTGAGATGCAGGAAGAAGGGCCAGAGTCTTTCTGGACCCAGTAGAGGTGCTGGTCCTTTTCTACTGAGCACTGTTTTTCCCTACATCAGGGGCCAACTGCTCATCTTCCTTAGAGAGCGTCTTGTTGAAAGTTCTTATCTGATGATAACTGGAATTCGAGTTCTTCTCCCAAAAGAAATTAGCCTATTTTATTTACTATATTAAGTGGCAGAAGCTTCCTTTGCCAACACATTTTACTGAGTGCCATACAATTTCCACGTTTATGAAATAAAACCTTCTTTTTCATTTTGGCTTTCCTTTTAAGAATGCCCCCTGGGATCTCTTATCCTGGGCAAAGGACCAAAATCAAATCGCATCTTCCATTAATGCGTAAAAGCTTGCAAAGGCCATCAGCCCCTGTGCTCACCCCCCAGGCAGAACCTGAATTTTCCCAGGCCCTGAGACCCTGTGGGATAAAATTAACAACCTGGGTCATGATCACAGTGACTCAGGTTCCCTCGGTCCCAGGCCCCTCCCAGCCCATTCGGAGCTCCTGGGGCCACCCTCCCTCCACTCTCAGGGGATCCCCCAGAGTCCCTTCCACACACCTCCCACTCTGCACACCTTTGGACACCCTCCAAGTAGTGCCAGAGGCTGACCCGATGTGGCCACTCCTGATGGAGCTTGCAGCTCCCTTCTGCACTGCACGCTTGACCCCTCTCCCACCTGCCCAGGCTCCCCTCCACCTGCCACTGTGCTCAGATGGGAAGGGCTCTCTCCCCAGCACTGTGCCTGCGTGCTAAGTTGCTTCAGTCACGTGCAACATTTTGTGACCCCCTCCCCACCGGGCTCCTCTGTCCATGGGATTCTCCAGGCAAGAATACTGGAGTGGGTTGCCATGCCCTCCTCCAGGGGATCTTACCGACTGTACACCCAACACCAAGCCCCCAAGTACCCAGAGTCACTGATGGCACAGCTTTTCGGCATCCTCTGGTTTCCACACTCTCCTCCCTAGGAATCTGGCTGAAAGTCCATGAACAGCTGAGTCAAGAGTTACCAGTAACAAGGCTTATGGAGCACTCAAAATAGACTTGCTGAATAGAAATGGACACACGTTTCTGGAAGGCAAGTTGGCAAAAGATACCAAAGACTTTACATCTGCCTGAGCTCAGACGCCTCCCACCCTGCAATTCCATTTCTAATTCCATTTCTAGAAATTCCATATCCTAGAAGTGAAGTAGCATACATACAATATAATGAAGTAAAAGACATTAGAAAAGATGCTATAATTCTAAAATTATTGAAATAGAAAAAGGATCACAAAAAAATAAATTATTCCATTTTGGCTGTGTGTGTGTGTGTGTGTGTGTGTGTGTGTGTGTGTGTGTAAATTCATGTGTTTATAGTAAAAGCTCTGGAGAGATTTACAACAGTGAATGAACAGTTACCTCCAAGTGGTGACATCATAGTTGTATTATGTTTGTTCATATGTATTATTTGGTTCATCTGTATTATCTATTATTTCTACAATGAGCATGTATAGCTTTTGTGATAAGAAAGCAGAAGAGGATTTTCTGTTTAAAAATCGGGTCCTCCTTTCAGACGCTGCCTCTTTCCTTCCCCATGGTGGGATACTGGTGACCCTCCGTTAGTTCTGTCCCCACATCGGTCCAGCTGGTGGCACCAAACCCTTCTCCTTAGCCCAAACTCCCCCTTATGTTGGTGCTGGCACTAGTCTTCACCCTGTGTGGATGTGAATTGTCTAATGAGGTTTGATAGCTCCTGCTACAAATAGACCCCTTCATGGATCACAGCTTTGTCACTGCAAAGGGCTTCCATAAGTCAAGGTATGAGTCTTGCCATGCAGGGCCACTCAAGACAGACGGGTCATAGTGAAGAGTTCTGACAACATATGGTCCAGTGAAGGAGGGAATGGAAAACCACTCCAGCATTCTTACAGCGAGAATACCATAAACCGTATGAAAATGCAAAAAGATATGACACCTGAAGATGAGGGTCCCAAGTCAGAAGGTATCCAATACACTACTAGAGAAGAGCAGGGGGCAGTTACTAATAGCTCTAATTACTAATTACTAATGCTATTAGTAATATTAATAACGAATAACTATAGTTACTAATAGAGAATGAAGTGGCTGAGCCAAAGCAGAAACGACACTCAGGTGTGGATGTGTCTGGTGATGAAAGTAAAGTCTGATGCTATAAAGAACAGTATTGTATAGGAACCTGGAATGTTAGGTCCATGAATCAAGGTAAATTGGATGTGGTCAAATAGGAGATGGCAAGAGTGAATGTCGACATCTTAGGAAGTAGTGAACTAAAATGGACAGGAGTGGGCATCAGTAATCCAAGTCTGTGCCCCAACCACTGATATCAAAGAAGCTGAAGGTGACCAGTCTATATGAAGACCTAAAAGGCCTTCTAGAACTAACACCAGAAAAGATGCCCTTTTCATCTTAGGGGATTGGAATGCAAAAGTAGGAAGTCAAGACATACCTGAAGTAACAGGCAAGTTTGGCCTTGGAGTGCAAAATGAAGCAGGGCAAAGGCTAACAAAGTTTGTCAAGAGAAGACACTGTTCATAACAAACACCCTTTTCCAACAGCACAAGAGACAGATCAGTTCAGTTGCTCAGTCATGTCCAACTCTTTTTGACCCCATGGACTGCAACATGCCCATCAATCACCAACTCCCAGAGCTTGCTCAAACTCATGTCCATCAAGTCGGTGATTCCATCCAACCATCTCATCCTCTGTTGTCCCCTTCTCCTCCTTTCTTCAATCTTTCCCAGCATCAGGGTCTTTTCCAATGAGTCAGTTCTTTGCATCAGGTGGCCAAAGTATTGGAGTTTCAGCTTCAGCATCAGTCCTTCCAATGAACACCCAGGACTGATCTCCTTTAGGATAGACTGGTTGGATCTCCTTGCAGTCCAAGGGACTCTCAAGAGTCTTCTCCAACACCACAGTTCAAAAGCATCAATTCTTCAATGCTCAGCATTCTTTATAGTCCAACTCTCACATCCATACATGACCACTGGAAAAACCACAGCTTTGACTAGATGGACCTTTGTCAGCAAAGTAATGTCTCTGCTTTTTAATATGCTGTCTAGGTTGGACATAGCTTTCCTTCCAAGGAGCAAACGTCTTTTAATTTCATGACTGCAGTCACCATCTGCAGTGATTTTGGAGCCCCCAAAAATGAAGTCTCTCATTGTTTCCCCATCTGTTTGCCATGAAGTGATGGGACCAGATACCATGATCTTAGTTCTTTGAATGTTGAGCTTTAAGCCAACTTTTTCACTCTCCTCTTTCACTTTCATCAAGAGGCTCTTTAGTTCTTCACTTTATGCCATAAGGGTCATGTCATCTGTGTCTCTGAGGTTATTGATATTTCTCCCAGCAATCTTGATTCCAGCTTGTGCTTCATCCAGACCAGCATTTTGCATGATGTCACACATGGATATCACCAAATGGTCAATACAGAAATGATACTGATTATATTCTTTGTAGCTGAAGATGGAGAAACTATACAGTCAACAAAACAACTCCTGGAGCTGACTGTGACTTAGAGCTCCTTATTGCAAAATTCAGAATTAAATGGAAGAAAACCATTATTCTATTCAGGTATAACCTCAGTCTAATAACTTATGATTATACAGTGAAGGTGATGAACAGAGTCAAGGGATTAGATCTGGTGGACAGAGTATCTGAAGAACTATGGACAGAGGTTCCTAACATTGTACAGGAGGCAATAATCAAAACCATCTCAAAGAAAAAGAAACGCAAGAAGGCAAAATGGCCATCTGAGGAAGGTTTACAAATATCTGAGACGAGAAGAGAAGTGAAAAGCAAGGGAGAAAGGGAAAGATATACACAACTGAATGCATAAGTCCAGAGAATAGTCAAGGAGAGATAAGAAGGCCTCCTTAAATGAACAATGCAAAGAAATAGAGGAAAACAATAGAATGGGAAAGACCAGAGATCTCTTCAAGAAAACTGGAGCGATCAAAGGAACATTTCGTGTAAGGATGAGCATGTTAAGGACAGAAACAGCAAGTGCCTAACAGAAGCAGAAGAGATTAAGAAGAGGTGGCAACAATACACAGAAGAACTCTACAAAAAGGATCTTAATGACCCAGATAACCACGATAGTGTGGTCTCTCACCTAGAGCCAGACATCCTGGAAAGTGAAGTCAAGTGGGACTTAGGAAGCGTTACTATGAGCAAAGTTAGTGGAGCTGACGAATTTCAGCTGAGCTATTTGAAATCCTAAAAGATAGTGCTGTTAAAGTGCTGCACTCAATATGTCAGCAAATTTGGAAAACTCAGCAGTGACCACAGGACTGGAAAAGGAATTTTTATTCCAGTCCCAAAGAAGGGCAATGCCAAAGTATGTTCACACTACCATACAATTGCACTCATTTTGCATGCTAGTAAGATTTTGCTCAAAAATCCTTCAAGTTGGGTTTCAACAGTACATGAACCAAAGACTTCCATATGCACAAGCTGGATCTAGAAAAGGCAGAGGAACCAGAGACCAAATTGCCAACATTCATTGGTCATAGAGAAAGCAAGGGAATTTCAGAAAAACATCTACTTCTTCTGCATTGACTATGCTAAAGCCTTTGACTGTGTGGATCACAACAAACTGTGGAAAATACTTCAAGAGATGGGAATACCAGACCACTTTACCTGTCTCCTGAGAAACTTGTATATGGGTCCAGAAGCAACAGTTAGAACCAG